ACGAACATTTCATTAAGTGGATAAAAGCAAAGCCAAGTCTTCTTCTCATTAATTAAACCACATAAGTCGTTCATCTTCGTGCTTAAATATAATTTAAGTTCATCAACCAACCTAAACCCCCCCTTGTTACTTATTTCTAGTTTTATAAAAAGAGAAATATTCCTTTCTCTGTGGATACGAACCTTACTACACTATACTATGTATTAGTGTTGTATTGATTATTATTTTGAGTGCATACACGACAAAGTGCACGTCATGTGGGTTCCACCGGATAGAAAACATGTGCTTGTTTTAAAGTGATATACCTTTTCTTTAATTCGAATTGTTTAAAAAAAAATATACTTCCTATTAAAATTCATATTTTTTTTTAATATCTTTCATATCATGCAAGTATTGCATGTACAAAACCAAAACATAATTTTTGTCTTTTAAATTGTTGTAACTTTTTATTTGTACTTCTATAGTCACAAAGTTTTAAATAAGGGGACATTTCATTCATTGGATTTGCATTAGAGAATATTTTTGCCATTATTTTCTATGCTATCGCTTTTATTTATTGTTTTATTCTTTGTGCTAAAAAATTGTGCAATTTAAAATCGCTTTTTTACCGTGCCCATTATTAATCTGCATATTTTTTTCTATTTGATATTTTTATTGGTAGAATTTCAAAAAATATTTTTTGGCCAAATTATCATGAATCTATTGATCGATGTGTCAAAAAATATCTTGCCTAAAATAAAAAGAGTAATCTATTTGGCCCTCTAACAATCGTGTCTCTGAATTGTTTTTATATATGTAATATTGGTGTCATATGAAAGATAGTAAAAAAATGTGAATTTTGATATTTTTGTGATACGGAATACATATACAAGTTATACACTTATACTACGTCACAATTTAAAAAAATAAGTTTTTTAAGTGCTAAATATTGTTTTATACTCCGCATATGCAATATTGGTGTGATATGAAAGATCGTGAAAATTTATAAAAATGTATAAATGTGTGTGTTTTATAATAATCATACTACAATGTTCACAAAAACAAGTATTTTTGTGGGGCCCACGATGAATCTTCTCCTCTTTTGTCATGAGCTACTACAATGTTCTTTTCTTTCCCTATAAGCCGCCAAGTCAATTGACAGATTTTCTTAATCATGGTCTGCCTGAACACTATTTTAGAAAATACTTTTAACTTGATTCCAATTTCGTAAATAAGTTTTATTTAGCATTATTTTTTGGAAAAACTCACTAATTTATACAGTTTGTCAATATTTAATTTTATGGAGGAGAAAAAAATAATTGTAACTTCATTTTATTACTTTAAATAGAGAATTAATAAATCTATTAAGACTGTTAAATTAAAAAAAACACTAATCATGTTAATCATATTTGAATTTTCTTGATCATCGAATTTTGACCAATCATCTTAACTGGTATATTTATTTGAAACTAATAAACTTTACTTTCATGAAATAGTTTTAACACGATACATTTTCATATTATCGATTAATTATTTCTATTTAGGGAATAAACACTTAGGCCTTGTTTGGCAATCGGCGGATAGCGGTTAGCGGTTAGCGGATCATGTTAGCGGGTTCTAAACAGCAGATTGAGTCAGCGGATTTGACCGGGGAATTAGATTGGCGGGTTACAAAAATATGTTTGGTAAGTTAGCTGTTTGTTTTTAGCGGTTAATAGATAAAATGACAAAAAAGGACATTAGTACATTTTATGAATAAATAAATATATATGAACCAGCATTATCACAAGCCGAATAACAATCTATAAATATTCAAAATGAGCATTCAAAATATAAAAGAATAAATTCATAAAAGTACACGACATAACAAAGTGAGGACCTGGGAAGTAAGTTATGCCACGACGAGAAAAGACGAGAAAGAAATTTAGGAGACATCGTGATGCTAGCAAGTTCTTATAGAAAAGACGACGATAGTGCGTTCGTAGGAGATGCCCAATTGCCCACCTTCGTATGTAAAATCCTTGCATAAAATAGTTAAGCTACCTTGGGATAGTCTGCTGCCCTGCGATTTTTCTTGAGGAAAGGTAGCTGCGGTGGAATGAAGAATACGGAGGGGTACACACGAGAATTAATAATTGACTGAGACCCGCTAATCCCTAAAGGGCTCCACTTTGTGGCGTTTAAGTTTTTGGCGTTTTGGGCCAAAAAGTTGTGGTAACCCGCCAATTGCCAAACACATTTTTTCAGCGTTTTGACCAATTGAAAACGCCAATTTTGGTCAAATCCGACAATTTTTTTGACGAAACGCCATTTACCAAACATGGCCTTATTGATGGTAGAAAATATCACGAGTAGAGAAACTAGCAGCACTTCAGTATAGTGAAAATAGCTTAGGAAAATACAAAGGGTTGGTGGCCTATTTATAGGCGTATACAACATGCTCACCAATTAAGTGTTACATGGGCTTGACCCGATTTATCAACTAATAATGATGCTAATGGGCCAGCCGGCACGATAAGTAATTAAATAATTCCGAACCAATATCTACTAGCTGGACTGTGTTCTAAGCTCGGTCGGGCCAAAGCTCGGGTGTAACGAGCCGATAGTCTTGGACCTGGCTGAAGAGGAATGCTCCTGTCCAGACGTCCGGACAGGAGCCGCCGTCCGGCCGGCGGCGTTTGGCCGCCTTCCCGGTGGAATTTTTTGATGAAATTTTTATGGCATGTTCTCCATCAAGTCTAGTTTATCCACAAAAAAATTCAGCCAAAAACTCAATCGGGAAGGTCGTCAAATGATTTTTGCAAGTTAACTGGTCCGGAAAATACATATTCCGGACCAGTTAACTTGCAAAAATCATTTGACGACCTTCCCGATTGAGTTTTTGGCTGAATTTTTTTGTGGATAAACTAGACTTGATGGAGAACATGCCATAAAAATTTCATCAAAAAATTCCACCGGGAAGGCGGCCAAACGCCGCCGGCCGGACGGCGGCTCCTGTCCGGACGTCTGGACAGGATCTTTTCTACCTGGCTGAATATCCCAACACTTATTTTGAAATTCCAAATTACTTTTACGATCCTGTCCCCCATCCTTCCCCTACGGGCACCCGGTCATGTTGTCATTCTTTGGACTTTTGGAGACTGGAGTAGCTATAAATAGGATATACAAATACCGAAGGAGAATTGCTCAAAAAAAAACAAATGAAATTCCAAATCAAAACCTTTTGAAATGAATAGTTGGAATCATTTTGTTTTTCCTAAATGAATCTTTTTAAGAACGAGTGTTTGACTGCTAAAGAATATTTGATTAATTAGTCTTCAAAGCCTCAAGTCATAGGAAGTACACAAATGCCTATCAACCTTTGTTACCAAAATATGCACAAGGATTCAGGCTAACGGTAGGACATACTACTAAAGATTTTATCTCTTTAGGCTTTAGGGCAGCATTAGGATTCATGAAGTGTAATGTTGGAGGATGTAATGGTCTAATCAAGCTTGACATGATCAAAACTACAGTTATCAAATTATGATCAATTGTATTTGCTATATATAGTTCTTTTCAACCTGAGAGGGAAATTAAGAAAGGAGATTCATTTCACCTTTCCTTTGCATTCTCGACAATGGATGCTTCTCTATAGGAATCATGAAGTGTATGGATAAGGTAAGATCAACCGTTTAAGTAGCGAGATACACTCTAGTTCCAACCTCCTTGCTTTTGGACAGGGGGGCAACCTTCCCCCAACAAAAAATTTTTTAGGGTATATATATGTGTGTGTGTGTGTGAAAAATAATTTTTCACCCCCTCAAAACATAATTTTCGCCCTCCAAAAAATATTTTGAACCCCCCGTGACGGATTTCCTAGGTCCGCCCCTGCTTTTGGAATAACATGTTGATCTTCACCAATAGCACCTTGCTTGCAGTTTCTAAACTTTTTTCAGGTTTTTATGCTCAAAACTATTAAGAATCATTTGATCAGAGGTGGCAGGCTGAAAAACAATAAGTTGATGGTGCAAATGCTTAAAATGAAAGCCTCGTTGTCTCAAGTATTTGGGGGAACCTATACACTCGCGGCAAAACTAGAGCAACTCGGTCAAATGATATTATAGCTCACTTTTAAGCTAAAATACTTGCTTAGATGAAGAAAATCATAAGGGGAAGTTTTGCTCCAATCAAACATGTTTTGTCGTTTGTTCCAACTCGTACCCTTGTAGTTGTTCTACTTTCTAAGGTCATAAATATCCTTGAAAGAGCAATAGACTTATAGATATTCCCTCCTTCAGGGATGGAGCCCAGATTTAATATTAATGGTGTCAATTGAAGAAGTCACATGAGTTACACATGACGAGAAGTGTATACACGATTAGTAACAGTGTGTAAACAATAATATGCTGATTGAGATGTGGAGTAACCCACAAAAATACAGGGGTGAGAACGGCTTTTGGTTTTGGTGGATGTATATGGTCGGAGCCATGGGTAACACAGGCAGCCAAACGGCTGAAGTTTTGTGTAGTTCGGGTGAGTTTTATAAAGGCGGAAATAAGGTGACTGGTTTTGGAGTACAGGTGTGGGTAATCGGTTAATTAGGTAGACGGCGGTTTGGAACGCATATGGCCAATACTTAGTGGGTAGGCCAGCAAAATGTAGAAGTGCAAGACCCGTGTCAACAATATGACGGTGTCTACGTTCAGCTATGCCATTATGTTCAGGAGTATGAGGGGGAGTGGTAAAGTGACTTATACCCTGACTGTTGAGATATGGTCTAAGTTTAATAAATTCACCACCATTATCTGAGAATAATGAAATGATGGTCAAATTAAAAAACTTCTCAACTAATCTATGAAATTGTGGGAATATAAGTGACACTTCAGATTTAGTTTTGAGGGGATAAAGCCATATATATCTAGTGTAATAGTCAACAAATATGACATAATATTTGTGACCATCTAAAGAGTGATCAGAAGTACTCCACACATCTGTGTAAATTAATTCAAGAGGACGGCTTGCAGTCATAGAATTAGAATAAAATGGCAGCTTTGTACTTTTATTGATAAAGCAAGAGTTACAATGAGACTCATCAACAAGATTACATTGAAACTGAGATTTATTTTGACTAGCTAAAATAGAAAAGACACGATGTGAGGGATGCCCAAAGATGTGATGCCAATTGGGTGACACGGACACTTGAGTAACATTTGCTTGAGATGGAGGAATGGAGGGTGCGTAGTAGACATCATGATGATTCTCTCCCCGCATTATTGGCGCCCCCGTGACTCGATCCTTAACAAGAAAATGAGAAGGAAAAAATTCAACCGAAACATGATTAGTTTTACACAATTTAGCAACGGAAACAAGGTTTTTGTGAATGCTAGGAACACAAAGAATGTTAGACAGAGAGAGGGATCGGGTAGGTGTGGGCAAGGTTGTATGACCAGTGTGAGTGATGGAAAGGGACTTACCATCGCCAAGACGGACCTCCTCTGGACCGCCATAATCTGTATAGGATGGGAGAATGGATGCATCCGAGGCAACATGATGAGACGCTCCACTGTCAAAGAGCCATGGTTGACCAGTAGGGCCGGGTGAGTGCACCGATGTATTGTTAACCATCGGAGTGGACGAATATGGCACTTGGTGATCCCGAAGAAATCGTTGTAATTTGCGGCAAGCCTTGACATCATGGCCTACATTATCACAAAAACGGCAAGTGATCATATTTGAGTGGGAGCGTGTATGAGCTCCTGAATAGCCTCCACGTCCTCTTCTGGTGGATGACGAGCGACGATCCCCTGATGGAAAAGGGCGGCGGTCTCCAGCTCGGTCAACTGCATGGGTTGCGTTGACCGTGGGAATGAGAGAGGCAGTAGCATTAGCGACGTCACGCTGCTTGGTTTCCTGCTCCAGCAATATATCTTGTAATTGGGTAAGAGGCAGGGGAGTCTCACGGACTCGAATTGCAGAGATAATTTCACTATAATCAGGTCCAAGACCATTAAGAATGCTAATGACCAAATCTTCCTCGGATTGCGGACATTGAGCAAGAGCAAGAGCCTCAGAGAGGGCATACATTTCAGCAAGATATTCGGTAACGGACCGGTTTCCCTTCGTGGTGCGTGCTAACGTGGTTTTGAGGGAAATGATACGGCCACGAGAAGTGCTGGCATATGTAAGTGCCAATTTTTCCCACGCTTGACGGGAGGTGGCGGCCGATGAAAGTAGCGGCTGGATAGTATCGGTGCAACTGCCAAGGAGTGCACTAACGATAGTTTTGTCTTGGCGGTACCAAATGGTGTAACAGGGATTAATTTGTGTTTTGGTAGTATCCATGTATTGATCAGGCGCAGAGAGAGAGCCATCAACATATGCATCTAAACCGAGACCAACAAGGGCGGAGTGTACTTGACACTTCCACACGGGAAAATTTGAATTGGTGAGTTTGATAGGAAAATGGGTTGATGCCGTGAGGGAAACAACCGGCGTGGTGGGGGTGATAGTAGCCATAGATGGATCGGAAGGGAGAAAAAAAAAACTTGAGCTCTTTAGAGAATGAAGGCTCTTGATACCATGAAGAAGTATGAATGTATTAATTATTACTCGTACATGCATGCGAATATATACACATGAGTTACAAACTGATAAGTATCATCTATCTCTACAGATCCGAATAGGCCGACTAACAGCCCATGAGAATAGGGTGTATACGTACTTAGTAGCTATCCATGTGAAGTTCTATCTATACGTAGTACACATATGTACATACTAAAATATGTAACATTAAAGTAATAAAATAAGTGAACTAATAATTATGTTCCAATATCAATTGAGAAAATTAATATTATATAAAAATGTGTAAATATATAAAGCAAAATAGAAAAAAATGTTATTTATAAAATTAATGTGTCAATTCACAAATGTCCACGCCACATCTTCATATTTTGAAAACGTTGTACAATTTTTTCTTTGTCAACATTTTTGAATATATCTTTTTCAATTAAAATAACACAAATTAAATGATACTCCGTATGATATTTGATATTTCTACATTCATATAACAACTTTAGAAAATAGAAATTATCAATTACTCAGTTATAGGGTGTGTTTGGCATTTAGCGTATATCGGATTATGTTAGCAGGTTTTCAATAGCAGATTGACAGAATAAATTGGCGGGTTGCCAAAAGATGTTTGGTAAACTAGTTGTTTAGCCACAATAATTAGTAGAAAATGTCATATTTTAAAACGCCAACCCAAAACTCTCATATTTGCAACATTTACATTTCACCGATTCCATAAAAAAACGCTAGAGCCGAACATATACTTATCAAACAACATTTTCACTTATTAAAAACGTTAAAGGAGATCAACCGCCAAAAAATTGGCTGAAATGTCATAAATTATACTTCCTTCATTCTTAAATAAATGCAAAAGTCAACTTTTCACATTTGCCGAGACACAACTTTGACCATTAATATATTTAATCTCTATTAGTAAAAAATTAAAAAAAAAACAGATTTTGAAAATTTACAATGAAACAAATTTAACAATATATTTGCTGAAACTTCTGAATTTGACGATGTTTTCTTCATGAAAGTTGTAGATAATGAAGTCTTCTATCTACCGCAACTTGCAAAACTCGATTTAAATTATCCCATCAAAAGATAAGAATAAAGAATCGCTCTCGAATGCTCATCAACTCAACCCGATTGCTTCTCAAGCGCCAGTGCCGGACTCAAATTTCCTGATTTTGACTCCCAAAATATCAAACTCTAACCAACGCCCGATAAAATATGACTTGAGCTAAAAGTGAGACTTATGACACCTTAAAGCTAGGAAAACAATCAAAATCTGATATCAACGCGCATCAAATGCGTGTCGAAATCGGACTTATCAGCTGATAATATCATCTAACTCTTTAATATTCCATTCATCTCAATATCATTATTATTAATCAAATACTAGTATAATTTAATTCAATTAATAATTAATTGATTCTAACAATTTAATCGGAAAGGTATAATCACGTGTTATATGACTCTAAGGTGTCCTACCTTTTATATTGAGTATAAGGAGGTTTCAAAGGATTATAAAACAGTGTAATAAATAGACTTTTCATTCTCTCCGGTTGATGAGTAATTATCATTTTTAAAAATCAAATGAATACTCCATAATTTTATGATCAAACTGGGGATAAGAAGTAAAGTGTTTTCTCAAAATCTATTACGAAGTATGAGAAATGAATTTTATTCTTGATTAAACAGGAACGTCTACACAAATCGGAGAGTACGATTTTTATCAATTGAAAAACATATAATATTATTATTTTTGTTATATCAATATTTTGTGTGATTCAATTTACTCCCTCCGGTTCTTAATTAAGTTACTGGTTTGACTTCACACATATTAAGAAAATAAATTTGACTTTACTGTGGAGTGCACTGTTTGAACACTGTTTGACACTTTTTTTGTGTAAGTCATTTGCCAAATAAGGAAATGTTTGAAGTACGAACCTTAATATGGATCATCCCAAAAAGGAAAGTATGATCTTAATTACCGGACGGATGAATTTTTTATTTTAATATAATCAAGTTTAACCTCCGAATTTCACTCAAAATAAGAGTTTTTTCCACTTTTAGTCCTCCGACTATTATGTCATTGACATTTTTGGTATTCGACTTTGATTTTTTTCATTTTTAGTCCTTGACTATTGCGCTAGAGACACTTTCGGTACCCGTCTTTGAAAATTTCCATATTTAGTCCTTCAACTTTCATAAAAGTGACACTTTTGGTCCTTCAACTATTATAATAGTTACTTTTTTAGCCCTCCACTTATTGTGTCAAAATCATAATGGGGGGACTAAAAGTGTCAATTTAACAATACTCAGGGACTAAATGTGGGAAACCTTAAAGTCGGGGACTAAGAGTGTCTCCAGCACAATAGTCAAGGACTAAAAATGGAACAATTAGAAGTCGAGTACCAAAAGTGTCATTGACATTATAGTCGAGGGACCAAAAATGGCAAAAACTCCTCAAAATAAATCCAAAAAGGTCTGAATCATGCACATTATTTTTAACACATGAGAAGAAAAATAAAATCAATTTTGCTCTTTGTACCCACCCATTGTACCCACCCTATACACACTACAAATACCCAAAAAAAATTACCCCACTTTCACCCCATTACTCCTTCTCACTTATCTCTCCCCTCTCAGCCCTCCCTCTCCCTTCTTCCACGCATTTCCCTTCTCCCCCATTCCTTCTACGCCATTTCTCTCCCCCCTCACTTCTTCTGCGCCATTTCCCCCCTCACTTCTTCTGCGCCATTTTCCCCCTCTCTCCCCTTCTTTTACATCTGCCTTTACAGTTCAATCCTTCACCCAATAAAATCAAATAACTTGGATAGAAAAAGCTTGAAGACCAACCCCTGGATGAACGAAGATCTTCTGGCTCAAACTGATGTAGACGGAAGGTAGGGATAAAGACGGTTGGTCTACTTCAAATATATTAATGAGCAGCAACTTGTAAATGTAAGATTCAACCTATGTTTTTCTCTACCTTGTTCATTGTGTTTCTTGTACATTTCAGATTTTTTTCCCCGATTTGATGTATATAAAATATGTTAATGTTGAATGTTGGAATTGATATATTGTTATAGATCTGTGATGCTTATTATTGAAGTTTTAACTCAAAGTATTCTATTTCACGTTTATGTCCAAAAGATGTTTGTAGAAATGACTCAAATGAATTTTTTATTCATATCCACAATTTTGTGTGTTCAATTTTTTTTGTTAAATCCTTTGACTATTTTATTTTATTAATATGAATTTTATATTTATGTTATTGAGATACGAAGTACGTAGTATTAGTTTTTAAAATCTACTAAATATTGTTCATACATATACTATATTTTTTAGAAATTTATTTCAATTAAATGTTGGGTTTGAATATGACTTGCTAATTGTGATTGCTTCTAGGTAATAGAAATTCATATTCAATACAGTTGATGTAATCTTTTTGTAAAATGGGTAAAGACCTTAGGCTAATTATGATTGGTCCTGGGTAAAGACTAAAAAGTGGATTGAGGAAGTATATTTTTGTAAAAATCTGAAACACAAAAATTGGAAGTATGAGTAAAACAGTAATTTTAGCCAAAAGGAAAATACAAAAAACAAAAACAGTAATTTCTATCAATGCTTCTTTCTATTCTAAATGCTAACATTTCAAATTGGTGTTGTAGATATAGCTGAACGTATTAATATTCTAGTGGCCTCTAAAACAATCATGAGATAGAATTCAACATTGGGCTTTTCAGGTTATGCCTCCATCACTATTTTTAAGCACATGCTATTGATGCATCTATCATTAAGTTTTTCTACCTCCATCAGTATTTTGAGTGAATATTTGTTATGCACTATAGGGCCAGTTCTTTTGTATGCATGTAGGCCGAAGTATCTTCGCTCAGGATACATCATGCGTTATTAAAGATGCTGCAATGTCGTTTATTAATTTAAATGAGAAGGTATTATGGGTTCTACGTGTCTGTTTCAATTTCTCACCTTCTATGGTGCCATTGTGTTTTTCCTATGTTCTATGTGATGTTATCATTTCACACGTATTCTTTGGAACCTGTGTTTGTATTTGTTAGGATCATTAACACGTATTCTTTACCGGATTGACTTGTATATATATCTGTATTTTTGGATTTAAGGTGGAAAAACATCAACAAAGTACCCTGGTGAATAGAGGAAGCTTCTTTTGCTGCTGCTGGATTGTTTCTTGAAATAACTTCTACTTCTTGTACCAGACAAAGTTGCAAAATTATGTGAACAAATCTTGTTAAATCATACACAAACAATATTTTTCTATGGACATTTTAGATAAAATTATGAAATACATATTCATCAATAAACAGAAGCATTTAGGAAGTACATTCTAGGACACTTTCAATTTTACATTCTAAATACATTTACATACTGAATATAAAAACAACAGAACATTACTTTACAAAGTGACTATTACAAGAACTAATATTATAGAGATAAACAACATATATAATTCTTAATAATGTCATAGCTCGGCCGCCTCTTCCTAACCAAACTGCAAGGAATCGTTCGGATGAAGAGAAATTGCTTGCCCCGTATATATACCCACTGTTATTACATAGAGGTAAACAACCAGAGGGAAAGAAGTTGGCTCCTGCTAAACATGATATAAAGAAAACCATAATTAAAATTCACAAAAGTATTTGAATATACTTCAACAATTATAAAAGGCTCTTCGTGTCAATTGTGAGAAGTTTTGTGATAAAAATGTAGTAAGTTTTAGTAAACATTCCTCAAAGTAGCAAATGAGATTACACCAGATATGATTAAACTTAGTTTGACAAGTAGCCCAAAATTATTCAAATACGGTTCTTATCCTATCTTTCAAAATTGAAATTATTATAGAACTAACATAACAAATATAGCACTTCTAAACTCAATGTTTGAAGCTAAAACAATTGGTTTATAAAAGTATCCCATACTTTCTTAAAAGTATAAATCTCATACTTTTTATCACTTTAGATATGTATGCTCTGTTTAGTTGAGGAGAAAAATAGAGAATAAGTAAATCAAGGTAGAAAGTAAGAAAAATTAAAATGTGAGAATTGCATAACATAACAGGAAAACAAATCAAAGTAGAAAGTAACATGTATCCTTTGTTTGATTTCAAAGTCCACAAAAAGAAAACAATAAAAACCAAAGAGAGATCTTCACTAAAATGCACAATAGTAGGAAAACAAATCAAGATACTATAGCCAAACGTTCAAGCATCATGAACATAACAACATTTCATTGCAAAATTTTATCAAACACATTATGGGCAGAAAAAAATGACCTCTTGAACATTAAATGTTATAATGAACACCATGCCTTCCTATGATGAAGCAAAATGGTCCAACAATAGTCCGTATAATATAAATAAAAACATACAATTTTACTAAAAACACAACCAAAACCTACATAAACATTTACAAAAAAGGAGGAAGATTATTACCTAATGTGTTAAATTTAGGAGGATGGATTACTAGAGGGTGTCGGTGTGACTGAAAGGGCCGACCCTTGCTCGAAGGTCCACTTGCAGTAAGAGAAAAATAGAGAAGGTAGGTTTTGTGAGAAATAAATAAAAAGAAAGATGAATTATACATGGACTGAAGAACACATACATAAGAGAAGGTAGGTTTTGTGAGGATGAATTATTCATGAACACGGGCATAGAGGAAGGGAGGGGGAGAGAGGGGGAAAATGGCGCAGAAGAAGTGAGGGGGGAGAGAAATGGCGTAGAAGGAATGGGGGAGAAGGGAAATGCGTGGAAGAAGGGAGGGGGAGGGTTGAGAGAGGAGAGATGAGTGAGAAGGAGTAATGGGGTGAAAGTGAGGTAATTTTTTTTGGGTATTTGTAGTGTGTATAGGGTGGGTACAATGGGTGGGTACAAAGAGCAAAATTGAAATAAAATTTTGAAAACAGACCGCAATGCACAAGTGGTCTACTTTGACTGTGTGGGACAAGACGGAAAAGAACACGATATTCCGTACGAAGGAAAAATGAGATCCCGGATTTCATGGGAGAGAAACTTGGCGTATGCATTCGACACGTGGTCATGTGGGGCCCACATCACACGGCTTTGATGTACTGCCTGTCTGCCTACCCCACCACCCGATATCGACGCCCTCCAATTTCTCTACTCTACAGCGATGTATTATTCGCAGCCGTTGGATTCTATTCCGCCTTCCCACACGAAAACCTTTCTCCGTACAATCCCCCGCATTTGGCTTTATCGTATGTTGCTATTTGAGGGGCAGCCATGATTGCAGCCTTCCTCTGGCCTCTTTTTTATTTTGGACTTTGTTCAAAAAATACTTTTTTTATATTTTAATTTTACAAATCCAAAATACGGATCGGTGCCTCAAATAAGTTTATAATAATAATCCTCCCACTAATCACATTTTTTTATATTTTAATTTTACATTTTGTTACTTTTTAATTTATATATAATCTTTCATGATTTTGAACTTTTTACAAAATCACATTTGAGTATATGATTCTTTTATCATACTCCGTAACTCATGAGACCTCGTTTTTCATTTTACTCCGTATATTTTATTATGACTCCATAATGAAGAGTGCTATATAAATATTTCTAAATAATACAAATATAGTGATACTTTAAATTTTGATTTCTTCAATATAAATTTTTTGTTGAGGCCAATTTGAGTACGTTGTTTTTCTGACTTCGTCACTACTCCTTAGACAAGTCATTAATCATCAATGGCTTTCATTTTTCATAAATCATCAATGACTTTCAAACAAAAGTTTTGTTCTAATCAAACTAATGAGCTCTTACCGACTTACCCAACTCGGAGAGGGAGATATATTCACCTCCCATGAGAAGTTTTTATAGAACAACTAGTATTAGGGTTATATAGTGCCACTTTGACAATTATAGGGACGGGTTCACAAATTTGGATTAGACTGGGACTAAAAAGTAATTATATGAGACTTAAACTTTAGTATGGTGGACTAAATATAAAACAACAACAACATCTCAGCCTTAGTCCCAAAAATATTGAGGTCGACTAACATGAATCGATACATGATATTACCACAAAACTAAATATAAAAAGTGAAAAAAGTTACAATAGAAAATTGAAAAATATTAAATTATCATGATCTTCAATCCACCATATTCTAGCGTAGATCCTTGCTTGTGAGACTGATCATCGTGAGAAATCATCCTAGGATTGTATTATGCGTGTTTATCACAACAATATCAGTCAAACCCGTTTTGTCACAAAAAGATATTCTTTCAAGAAATCAATACATATTATGTTCAAAATTCAAATATCTCAAAGTTGTTTATATCATTATATTCCCATATCATATGCTTTTGGTCAACGCATGTCCCCATTTTTGTACCTTTTTATTGTAATTTATGAGATGCTCCGTTTTAAACATTTTCTGAAATGACCAATAATTAAAGCTGGAAGTTACGAATATTTCTTGTAGGTGATCAAATTATTCAATTTAGATTTACTTAAAAATGAAAGAATCAATATGAATCAAATTATATAAGTGGAAATTACAAGATCGGATTTTATGAGACACGTCTCTTATGAAAGAAAGAAACTAACAAGAATATTGTTGGAGATTTTATGAGACACATATCTTAAGTTAAGAAGTAAAAGTTGGAGGCTTATCAGACTTATCAGTCAACTTTTTCACCAAACACGTAACTTAATTTTGCTTTCGCGCGCTGAATTGGGTAATAAGCAGAAAAAGTAAGGTTGAAGTTAATTTTCTGACTGTATTGGCTGAAGTTACTATATATGATCATTTTAGCTATTTTACATATAATTTTTTCTTTATTTTATTAATAAAATATATTTTAAAATAATTTTTTCTTAAGTCAGCAGAATCAGTCAATGCAACCACTTCAGCCAGAATTTCATAAATTTCAGCAGAAACAGCCAAATCAGCCGATTATCATGCTACCAAACGGACTCTTAATTAGTTGTACTTGGACTTCAAGCTACGTACACAGTAGAATAGTGTTTTAGTATCAAACTAAAAATATGTAAGATTTTGTGAAGGTGCTTTATCGGATAAATAAAAGGTACTCCGTAGCAATAATTTTGTTAAAGTGGTTGTTGGGATAAATTTAAAGACGGACAAAGAACCTAGGCCTAAAGCAAAGATGGACATGTGTTGGATTCGGCTCGTCGAATGAGCTTTGGATTTGTCCGAGTTATATTATCTTCCTTTAATGGTGAGATGTTTGTCTTCACAAAATTGATCGTACGGTACACATGATGGTTCACAATGAAGAGGGCAAGGATAGGATAGGAGGAGGGTAGTGTACCACTATTTTGGTCTGGTTGATCAGGTCTGGTCTGAATTGATCTGGTTTGATCTGATAAATGTCTAGTCTCGTTGTACTTTATAACTTTTCAAGTTTGATCTGATCTGATCTGTTCTAGACTGAAAATAATCCAAGTAAAAATATTATGTTATTATCATAGACTCTTCACGTATTTCATTAACATCATATTATAATCTCTTTTGTTTCTTATAATTATTTGTCATGTTTGATTAACACATATAATATAATTAAATAAAAATTATGTGTTTGAGATATATGTATAGTGTAATGGATGGAGAATTAATGGGAAATACAAATTAATTGATTAAAAAAGAAATTGAGAAATATTTTGGACAATAAAGAAATAAAGATTGTAAAATTTTAAGGGGCGAAAAAAGTAGATTTATTGTGCGCTTTAAAAGGTATAAATTTTTTATACTCTGTAAATATTGTACGGAGTATATTTTACTGAAGTGGATGTATTGTAGCGCAAATAATATTATGCAACCGGTTGTAACTAGGGGATAGTACAACCAGCCAACCAGGTACTTTTTAGTTTTGAAATTATTCTCAACTTCGAGGTTAAATGAAAACATTTTTCCTCGTTCCCCAATTTCCATTCCATCTTTTAATCGCCACACACTTGATTCATTCATCTCCAACCATCACCATAAGCATCATGTCGATTTTCGAAGAGCATGCTTCCACCATTGATACAACCTGATGGCTCGCCGCTCGCACCCATACGGACAACTCGTTGCTCGCACCTAAACGGCCAAATGCTTGTCTCGCACCTGACGCTCTTGCTCGCGGCTCGTTGCGTCCTCCTACCCGACTTAACACACACGACCATTAAATTGTGAGTTTAATATTAAAATGTAACTAATATAAAAATGTAACTAAAATGCGAGTTTTGTATTAAAATGTGAGTTTAATATTAAAATGTAACTAAAATGGGAGTTTAATATTAAAATGTAACTAATATAAATGTAACTAAAATGGGAGTTTAATATTAAATTGTAACTAATATAAAAATTTAATTAAAATGTGAGTTTAATACTAAAATGTGAGTTTAATACTAAAATGTAACTAATATGATGTGACAAGTATAGTAAATTCAATTAATATGTGAGTATAGTAAGTGCAATTAAAATGCAACTACTGATATAATGTAACTAAAATGAAACCAATGTAAAATGATCATGTAAGAAATATTTAAATGTGACTAATTTTTAAATGCAACTAACATTCAAATGTCACAAATTGTATATGATAATTGAGTATTATTAAACGTGGCTAATATTTTTATGTAACAAGTTTTGAAATGTAAAAGAATATATTAAAATCTAACAAATATGGTTAATATGGTAATGTAACAAGTATAGAAAATGGTGCAATTAAAATGTGAGTATAGTAATTAGTAAATGCAATAATTAAAATACAACTACTGTTAACAATTTAAAATGTAACTAAAATGAGAATAATGTAAAATTAGAATGTAAGAAATATTTAAGTATGAATAATGTAAAATGAGAATGTAAATATGAAAATGTAACCAATAGGGTAATAAACTTAATATATATATATATTTTATAATTTGAATATATTTCGTAACTATATAATATGATAAATGTATTAATGTATATAGTTACGAAATATATAAAATTTACCGTAGTTCGGCGGCTGTCTCCCTAGTTGTCTAGGGCTTGATTTTCCGGCGGGGATAGCTTTCCTCTGGTCCGGCGTTGGGGTTTCTTCTTCTTATTGAAGTAGAGTTATGAGTATACTAAGTTGGAATTGTTGAGGGTTAGGTAATCGAGCCACAGTTCAGGTCTTGACCGATATGGTTCGTCTGCAACTTCCGGTGGTTATATTCCTGATGGAAACCAAACTAAGGAGGGTGCGGGTTGAGGATGTGCTATGACCTCTTGGCTTTCGCAACATGCTTGTGCGGGACAGTGAGGGACAAAGCGGCGGTTTGGTTCTAGCGTGGAGGGATGGAGTGGAATTGCATATAGTTGGGTCTTGCAACCATTATATTGACAGTAAAGTTATATTAACGACAAGGGGACATGAGTGGAGATTAACTGGTTTTTATGGATACCCTGACAGTAGTCGGCGAAGAGATGCTTGGGCACTGCTACGAAATCTTGCAAGGGATATTACACTTCCTTGGATGGTTATTGGGGATTTCAATGATATTATGTCTACTTGTGAGAAGGGTAGAGTGCCACCATCCATATGGAGGATGCGAGGCTTTTGGGAGGCTGTCTGGGAATGTGGACTCAAAAAATTTTCCCTTTGACGGATACCAATGGACATGGGAGAGAGGAAGGGGCACATTGGCGTGGGTGGAAGCAAAGCTAGATAGAGTGTTGGTGAACGAGGAATGGTGGAATACCTTTGGAGCGGCAAAGGCTAAATCCCTGGAAGCTCCGGCCAGTGATCACCTAGCTCTTTGTGCAACTGTCCTATAAGCGGAGGTTAGTTATGGGAGAAAGCCATTCAA